ATGAGAGGGAGGCTTGGTCATGGGATGAGGCCGGGGGTGGGGAGATTTTGAAACTGGTGAATTCCATGTTTAGGCCATTGGGCTGTAGGCTCCTGAGGCGGAATATGAGGTGCTGTTCCTCCAGTTTCCGGATGGTGTCGTTGTGACACTAGAGGAGGCCCAGGATGGACATGTCACCCAGGGAGTGGGAGGGGGAGTTAAAATGGTTGGTGACCGGAAGGTGTGGTCATTTGTCACATACAGAGCGCAGATGCTCTACAAAATGGTCTCCAAGTCGATGCTTGGTCTCACCGATGTAGAGGAGGCCACATCGGGAGCAGCGGATACAGTAGACCAAATTGACGGATGTGCAGGTGAACACCTGTCTGATATGGAAAGTTTGTTTTGTGCCTTGAATGGAGGTGAGGGGGAGGTGTAGGGGCAGGTGTAGCACTTCCTGCGGTTGCAGAAGGTGCTGCAGGTGGTGGGGTTAGTGGGAAGTGTGGAGTGACGAGGGAGTTGCAGAGAGAGTGGTCCCTACGAAAGGCAGATAGGGGTGGGGAGGGAAATATCTCTTTGGTTGTGGGGTTGGATTGTAGGTGGCAGAAGTGGCAGAGAATGATACGTTGGATGTGGAGGTTGGTGAGGACAAGGGGGATTCTGTCTCTATTTTTGTTGTGGGCAGGAGATGTGAGGGCAATTAATTTGTGATCCTACCCCTTTAGGGGTTTGGCTAGTGCTACAAGTTCTGTGGCCTAACTTAAACTAGTTTTTGAAATCATTATCTGGGACCAAACAATGTTGAGGATAATTGGTTTGTTTAAAGTGGATATTATTTGGCCAGACCCAGTAATCATTTCATATCAGCAGTCTGGGAGTGTTCCCTGGGAGTTGATTTCATTTTCTTCTTTAACTTTAGTATGAAAGTTTAAAATTTAAAAATGACTCCAGCTTCTGCCACTGTCCTTTTAAAATCATGCTGTCACCCTCATCTAGAAGCTTGAATCTTTAAATCTAGGTAATTTCCCTCAGCCCTGTAGCTCTATATGCATGACTTTAGATGAATCATCAAGTCTCTCCAACTTCTCAGTTTCATTTTTCCCTTTGGAATTTAAATCACCTAAAATATTTGTTTCTGAGTTCCAATTAGCAAGATTGGAAATTAAAATAAATTCCCCCTCATCTTTTGAGAGCTGAGTCCGCAAATCCTTAAATATTACACTGTTTTTAAACTCTAACATCCATCCAGTCCAGCGCAGAATTCATTATAGTTGCTCAAAACATTTAATTTAAAATACCCGCCCTCAAAAATCCAAAATCATAATGTCACATTTCAAACATATAAACATCATACATACAGAAAATAAATTCAATACAGAGACAGAAAAGAATAGCACATCCTCTTAAGGGAAGTAAAACAGAGAAATCGATTATGGCACACCAAACAGCAAACTGCTTTAAAACCATATACAAAAGAGTACACAGGGGTTAAAGCACTTTAAAGTGACGTACGCACTGGTTTACAAACACACATAACTGTAGAGGCTGCTTGTCCAGTCCATTTCTTTCACTCTCCAGAACAGAACAAATAAATTGTCTCAAAAGATTGAACAGCAGCCTTTCACAAGCAGTCTCTGGCGAGTATTCTGAACAACTTGATATGTGCCTCTTTTCTGAGGTTTGTAGCCCATGATATCTAGGTCTTCATTTCATCTAGGTGCCTCGAGCCATTCTCCTCCTCATCTCATGGGGCTGATTACGTCCCTGAGCTTAAAGTGGCCAGCAACAATTTATTCCATTCTGACTTATTAAACCTGAGAAGTTCTGCCTTTTGATCAATCTGGGAAAATGTACAAATGACTTTTTCCCTGTATCGCACTTAGAACTTGTACTACCACCAAACAGAGTAATGCTTTCTAATAGCCTGACCTTCTTCTGGCTGCTTCTTCTTTTAACTTTGGTAAATTTAATGCAAACTTGCTCAGACATTCTTCACAAATATTCACATTTACTATTCAGCAGCTTTTGAACTCGCAAAAAGACTAAGCAACCTAATTGACAAGCACACACAAACCAGTTTCAACTTTTTTTGTCTTTTCAACAGTGTTGTAGGCTACTGTGATACTCTGATGTATTTGCTCCTAACCTTTGACTGATGTCTAAATTTGTTTCTGCCATTAATTGTATTATTGATGTGGCATTATTTCCAAGCTCTCAATTCTGGTTATGAGTTATAACAATCCTCCCCTTTCCCTTGGGAGTTGGTTAGCTCAGTTGACTGGCCAGCTGGCTTGTAATACACGGTGACACCAATAGCATAGGCTTGATTCCCACACCAGCTGAGGTTACTATGAAGGTCCTGCCTTCTCAACCTTACTTCTTACCTGAGGAATGCTGACTCTTAGGTTAAACTACCACCAGTCATATCTCTCTAATGACAGAGCAGCCCTACGGCAACTTTACTTCCCTTCCATGACCCTTTCCTGAACATCCCACCAGGTCTTTAGCTTCTCCTGTGGGCTCCCAAGATTTCAAACCTTTGTCTTCATCTTTTCTATTCTTTTTGTTCTCTTATCCTCCATAAATTTAGCTATCGACCTTCCAGGTATTTTCTAGGACATTGAAATGTTCCAACAATCGAGGGTGTTAAACTTTACATGGCATTAAATTCTTGAAGTACTGCAACATCCATGATGAGCAATGTGATAAAAACTATTATTCATCAAAAGTCCTCAGACAGCACCTTCCAAACCCACAATGACTTCCAGGGCAGCAGATACCTGGAAACAGTTCCCCTCCAAAGCCACTCGCCATCCTGACTTGGAAATATATTGCCATTCCGTCACTGTCGCTGGGTCCAAATCCTGGAATTCCCTTTCTAATGGTATTGTGGGTCAACCCACAGCAGATGGACTGCAACAGTTAGGCGAGGTCGTTCACCACCACCTTCTCAAGGGCAACTCAGGAAGGTCAATACATGTTGGTCAGCCAGCAACACCCATGCCCCACAAACAGTTTTCTATATTAATAGTTACTGTTACCGTTTTGTTGAAAGGGCCAAACCACATTATATATTCCATTCTATTGGTCTGTCTGCATTTTGTATGATTTATCTTTATAAGAGGCATAGAATCCACTGTCAGAAATATGTTTTTTCCTATGTAATAATATGAACATGACAAATTGAGGGGATTCTCTTCAAGCTAGCATGTACTATGATATTATTATTGGTTGAATTAATCTATTTTGAATTAGGTTATGAAATCAATTGTTGTGCCTGATAAGCATTATGAGTAACCATCTGCATGCAATTCCACTCACTGAGTAGGAACTAGCGTTACCAAGTATGTAATTTAAATGCCTTGCAATATATGAATCCCTGTTTTGTTTTGACACTTTATATTTCTTTGGATAGGTTTTGCGACAGCACTGGGAAACCTGTATTATGATGAACCATATGTGGAGGCAGAATATATTCTGGGTGTCTTTGCTGCTGCTTCAGTTCTGAAATTCATGAGCTTGTTTCACAAGTATGTATGAAGAATTGGTTTTAATTTTTGCAGTAACAAAAACAATACAATGTTGGAGATTTGCAATAAAACAATTTATCCTGCGCGATTATTAAATCTTGGAAAGATACTTCATAAGCCACTCATAAAAACATATGAACCAGGAGTAAGAATTTGCAATTCAGTCCCTCGAGTCTACTCCGCTTTTTAATACGATCATAGCTGATCTCATCTTGGCCTCAACTCCACTTGCCCGCACATTCCCCATAACCCTTCAACCCATTGACTGATCAAAAATCTGTCTATCTCCTCCTTAGAACTCGAATACTATCACTATCCAACCAATGTAACAATCAGGATTTCAGTACAACCAATATAGTTAGGTATTAAAACTGGCGAAACTCAGCAGGTCTGGCAACATCTGTGGAAAGAAAGCAGTGTAAGCATTTCGAGTCCAGTGACTTTTCATCAGAACAGATACCAGCTTGTAAAACCTGGTATTTGTGCTGAAAACAAGGTTGGGGGAGGGGGAAATTGAGAGGTGAGTGGATAGGTGGCAATAGAGCCCAGAGAAAGAGAGAGATTAAAGGGGTAGGTAAAAGAGGGGATAATAGATAGCAGGCCAGGTCAGAAGAGAAACTGCACAAGTGATAATGAGAGTTGAGGGTAGAAGGAAAAAGGGTGGTCTGGGCTGAAAGCAAACCATGTGATATGATAATAGGCCTGAGAGTAGGTGAAAATGGGTGGGCTGTGCTGGAAGCAACAAATGTCGTAGCATGACCCAGTGTTGGGGTGGGTATAAAACATTGAAGGACAGAATTAGGCTCTAACGTTATTGAACTCGATATTGAGTCGTAGAGGCTGCAGAGTCCTCAAGCATAAAGTGAGGTGTTGTCTTTGAGTTCGTGCTGAGGCTTGCTGGAGCACTGCAGCAGGTCTGAGACAGAAATGTTAGCGTGGGAACAGTGGTGTGCTGATGTACCAACATTTCTGTCGTAAGCCTGCTGCAGTGTTCTAGAGAGCCTCAGCAAAATCGCAAACAACAGCATCTCATTTTCTGCTTAGGGACCCCGCAGTCTGGTTTGCTTTCAGCACAGACTACCCTTTCTCTCAGCTCTCATTATCACTTATGCAGCTTCTCTTCTGTCCTGGCCTGCCATCCATAATCCCCTCATTTACCTACCCCTTCTATGTATCTCTCTCCCTCTGGGCTCCTTTGCTGCTAATCCATTCACCTCTACTATTCCTCCCTCCCTCCCCCTCATTTTCAGCATAAATTCCACTTTTCCTTAACCGCTATCAGTCCTGATGAAGAGCCACTGGACTCGAAACGTTAACTGTACTTTCTCTCCACAGATCTGCTGAATTTTGCCAGCAATTTCTGTTTTTGTTTCAGATTTCCAGCACCTGCAGTTCTTTGTTAAATGGTGAGATATTGATGTTACCGTAAGAGTTGAAAATGGGATGTAACATTATTAGTTATACAGTAAAAACATATCAATGTGAGAAATAATGAGGCCTGGACCACAATCAGGCAGGATAGCTGACAAGCACAAGCAGCCCTCTCTTATTCTGCTTCTCTTCTCAGTGCTCAAGTTTTCTCAATGTTTTGAACACCTGAGGTGAGTTTGCCCAAAAAGTTGCCTTTGACGACAGCACCGAACTTTTCCAGATTATTTTACATTATTTCCCCTTTTTCAGGGGTTCTTACCTGAATAAGTTATTGACAAAGCCTTTTGGACTATAAAGATTTACTTTATTTCAAAATATCCTATTAGGTATAAGTTATTTGTCTAAACATTGGGCTTGTTTAGTACATTGAAAGTACTACCTTAAATGTAATGCCTGTCTCTAACGCCTGAACATTTGTACATACCTGCAGGCCTTTATCAATCACTTTTACCTTATATTTTCATTCTCTTATCTCAAGATGTCCTCATCAAATTGTTGAACCATGATGTTGTTCACTAAGGTCACATCTATTCTACATACAATCACAAATCAACTCAAATTGTTCAGGAAACATTCAACTTAAGGTTAAATGAAGAATACAGCACGGCTTTGTGTTATGATTACTTGTTTAAGTATCTAACAGTTTTTCCCACTTTTGAAGGAGACTTTTTGTCTACCAAGGGACCCATTTCAGGGAAGTCATCCTTCATTATTCTACCAGCCTTATTTCTAGGGAAACCAAACCTTGAGCAGTTTATAGATGAAATGAAACTTACAGCACTAGCTTATTCTTTTCCTCATTTCAAGCTATTTGTAAGCATATAAACTAATTTCTAATAATTTGGTATATATAAGTTTCCAATGTAATTTGCATCACTTCTGGGTTAGGCTTACCAAAATCTCAATTCACTTTTTTTAATGCTCTACCCTCACTTAAATGTGAGTTTCATGAATTTAGCCTAGTTCCAAATGCCGAATTTATGCCATACATTTTTAGATGCTGTGAAACTCAGGTATACTATGGTGCATTTTTTTTCACAATTTTTAAAAAAAAATTTTTTCTCACTAAGCCTCATTCTAAGTTTGATCTTCTAACAACATCAGGGTATATTAGATTTGGAAAAAAAAGCCTAACAGAATTATTTCGCTGTATTTAATGTACGTAAATAATGATTCAATAGCTGTGAACTTTATCTTATTATAGTTATGAAAACAAATCTTATAACTTAATGTTGTTATTGTTTTATTGTTTGCATAGTACTGTTCCTTTGTTGAACACTGTGTACATTAATTTCTAGTTACTTTATGCCAACATTAATATTTAAGTATATTTTGAAAAGATTCTCAAGAACTTTTATCTTAAATTGTTATTAGCAAGATATGTGTAGAAACTATCTGAATTTCAGCTTAATTAGATTGAGAAACCTCAGCTCTGTGGCTCAATTTTACTGATGCTAGGCTTAACAACAAAGCTAAACATTTTTGTTTGAATCATTGCAGCTGGCATGGCTATAGAATTTAACCATAGACGATTTTTTGTAACACGTTTGAAGAGGAAAACACACCTGATTCATGGAAAGATTGTAGAAAAATCATATTTTAACATGTCAATTTTAATACATGAGTAATTGCATGTAATCATACCATTCTTTTAAAGGGTTTACCTTTTTTCTTTCATACTTGAGTCTAGCCTTGTTCGAATTTTCTGGCTCTTTTTGATGCAAGAATCTTATCCCTTTTGAAGCATCATAATGAAAACCTATCAAAGTACACCAAGTATTATTCCTTTTTGTCATGCACACACATTATTCCACCTGGGAAAGGGGAACATTTTAGCAAGATTCAAAAGTGGAGTTTTTTTCCATTCTTTAATAATATTTACTGCCCCTGCTTCCATTGTCTTCTAATCGGGTGGTAAGCATTTGGAGTGGTGATATTGTATTACAACAATATTGTGAACAAAAATATACCTCTCTCCCTTTCTTTTGACACCATTGCATTTACCAATTAAAAGACTTGCCCTTGTAAATATTTGCAGTCTTAACCCTCACCCTGTCTGTATTTATACAATTACCTTCCACTTCTCCACAATCTAACTTAAAGACTGGCTACATTCTGAATACAAAATAAATGACATTTGGAGGTTTGCTTGCATTATGTTGTGGTGTATATGTAATTGTAACTGACAAGTTCTAATAATAAATTTATAACTTTTCTATCAAATATGATGATATAGAAGAATATATTAATGTACGAACAATATAATTTAAGTAGATACAAATAATGTGTTGTTATTGCAGGTGTGTATCGGTTATGTTAGATAACATAAATGGTACCACAGTATGTCATTTCCATGAAGCTGCATCAAAGGTAAATAACTATAATGATCTCTAATTATACTCCAAAATGATACTTTTCTGATAACTTTGAGTGCGTCATTATGTCACCTCACTGATTGCCAACACATGGGAAAATAATAGGGATAATATCACAATTTTTCCATTTATATTGGTGATAGGTGAGAACATTAATTAGCTAGGGAACTAGGAGAAATAAATTGTGATGGCTTGAAAAGAGTTCATACCACAGAGGAGGAGATGCTGGAGGTTTTAAAATGCGTAAAGGTCGATAAAATCCTGCGACCTGATCAGGTGATTCCCACAACTTTGTTGGATGCTAGGAAAAAGATTGCTGCGCCCTTAGCTGAGATAGTTGTATCATCAACAGCCACGGGTGAGGAGCTGGAAGACTGGAGGTTGGCTAATATGGTGCCATTATTTAAGAAAGCCTGTAAGGAAAAGCCAGGGAACCATAAACCGGTGAGCCTAATGTCAGTGGTGGGTGAGCTGTTGGAGGGGATTCAGAGGGATAGGATTTACATTGCATTTGGAAAGGCAAGAACTGATTAGGGATAGTTAACACGGCTTTGTATGGGAAATCATGTCTCAGGAACGTGACTGAGTTTTTTGAAGAGGTGACAAAGAAGATTGATGAAGGTAGAGTGGTAGACGTTGTCTGTGTGGACTTCAACAAAGCATTCAACAAGGTTCCGCTTGGTAGACCTGGTTAGTAAGGTTAGATCACATGGGATCCAGGGGATGCTAGCCAACTGGACACAAAATTGGCTTATAGGTAGGAGACAGAGAATGATAGAAGGTTGCTATTCAGACTGGAGGCCTGTGATCTGTGGTATGCCTCAAGGATAGGTGCTGGGTTCACTGCTTTTCATCATTTATATAAATGATTTGGATGTGGATAGAGGAGATATGATTATTAAATTTGCAGATGACACCAAAATAGGTGGTATAGTGGACATTAAAGAATGTTATCTCAGAATACAACAGGACCTTGATCAGATGGGCCAATGGGTTGAGGAGAGGCAGATGGAGTTTAATTTAGATAAATGTTGAGGTGTTGCATTTTGGTATGGCAAACAAGAGCAAGACTTATACGGTAAATGGTAGGGCCCTGGGGAGTAATACTGAAAAAAAGACACCTAGGGGTAGGTATGTAGTTCTTTGAAAGTTGAGTCGCAGGTAAACAGGATGGTGAAGAAGGTATTTGAAACAATTGCCTTCATTGGTCAGAACATTGAGTATAGGAGTTGGGATGTCATGTTGTGGCTGTACAGGATGTTGTGAGACCATTTTTAGAATACAGCGTACAATTCTGGTTGCCCTTCTACAGGAAGGATGTTACTAAACTTGAGAGGGTTCAGAAAAGATTTAAAAGGATGTTGCCGAGTCTGGTGTGTTTGACATATAGGCAGACGGGGAATAGGTTGGGGTTTTTTTCTCTGGAGCATCGGAGGCTGAGAGGTGACATTATATAGGTTTATAAAATCATGAGGGGCACAGTTAGCGTGAATAGCCAAGGTCTTTATCCTAGGCTGGGGGAGTCCAAAACTAGAGAGTATAAGTTTAAGGCGAGAGAGTAAAGATTTAAAAAAGGCCTGATGAGTAACATTTTCATGCAGAGGGTGGTGCATGTATGTCACGAGCTGTCAGAGGAAGTGCTGGAGGTAGGTACAATTACAACATTTAACAGGCATTTGGGTGGGTGTTTGAAAAGGAAGAGTTTAGACTGATATGGGCCAAATGCTGGCAAATGAGACTAGATCAAATTGGGATGTCTGGTCGGCTTGGATGAGTTGAACCGAAGGATCTGTTTCTCTGCTGTATGACTCTATGACTGCTCACTATTCTGATCCACTCACCAAATTCTTCTTTAAATTGAATTTCTTGCATAGTCCAATCATTTGGCAGATTTTTAGTCATAAAAATGATCAAGACATAGTAAAATGTAAGAAATGTTATTTATCCTTGGACTGAAGAGTTTAACTTAATAAGTATAAAATAAGATATTAAATGAAAAACAAATACATCTTGATGATAAGCAATCAATCAAATGAGCTCAGACACAATGTAGCAAATTGTGTAGAGAACTGCTCAACAAGCACACCCTGTCCAGCGTGCTTGTGTCATTTTATGCTCATGTCTTCACTAATATTTTAATCATATATAATTTGAATACAGCAAAGACAAAATTGTATCGTGCTTAATTTAGAACTTGAATAGCCTCACAAACAAGAGAGCTGCATTTTGATGTTTGGTAGTTGAAGATAAATTCCACTTTAACACATCATTTCAAAACTCTGCAATGGGAAGTATAGAAATTTGATGCAGAATGATAACACTCTCGTCACATTCCTTATCGCAGCATGGATACACACAGAATCCCCAGATCAGTCTGTGAGGTCCACACAGCTCTGTAGCCTCATGGAAGGAAGACTCAGACCTCACACTTTAAGTTATAGTAATGCTTCATTTTTTCATTTCACCATGAGACCAATGTTAGCAGTCACATGACACAAGGCCCCATGCACCTTAGCCTAAGGGAGTTTGCTCAGTCTTTATACATTCTGAAGAATGACCATATATAAATCCCTATTACCTGAGAAGACCAGAACTGGAGAATTTTCAACTTAATAGAATTGGTGTGTTCCCAGGAAACTAGTGCTTGCACATGTGTGGTCACCATCCATTGAAGACCACGTTTGAAAGACATTCTCCGTTGGATTAATGAACACTGTTGCCGCATATCTTACCTGACAGGACAAGAAAACTCCATGTACATTCAATCTTTTCAACCTCTTCCCTGTGAAGATACTAATCACAATTAGCATAACCTTTCTTGATCAACAACAATGAGACCATTAAAACAACCAACAGTACTTACAAATATCCAACTATTCATGCTTAGGTTTTCTCTTAGTGGCTATCCTATAAATGCTACACCAAGAAGCTGCAGCACTGTGAGGTTGATGTTCGTGGAGAATCTAAGGGCATTGAATGACTGCCATTTCAAAACAGGCCAGTAGTTATTGCTACACAATTCCCATGTCACTACCTTGAGATATTTGTTCAGCCGGTCTAGTAATTTACTGGAGGTCAGATTGTGGGTGTCAAAGGTACTCTACATGCCCCTTTTAAGCAAGAGGCACAGAGCCAGCTGCATATTCTTTCATTGTAACACATTACTATTCCATGGAACATGCCAGCAATTCAATGGAAGTAGTTTGGACTATGGAAGCCATAATAATTGATCTGGAATAATTCTGTGCTTCTATTACAGGAATTACACATTTGATTTGATTTGATTTGATTTATTATTGTCACATGTACTGAGTTACAGTGAAAAGAATTGTTTTGCGTGCTATCCATCCAATTTATATCTTACATAAGTACATCAGGTTACTAGAACAGAATGTAGAATATAGTGTTACAGCCACAGAGAAGGTGCAGAAAAAGATCAACTCCAATATATGAAAGGTCTGTTCATAAGTCTGATATCAAAGGGGAAGAAGCTGTTCTTGAATCTGTTGATACACGTTTTCAAACTTTTGTATCTTCTGCCTGATGGCAGAGGGTGGAAGACAATATAATCAGGGTTGGAGGGGGCCTTTTATTATGTTGGCTACTTGCCTGAGACAATTGGAAGTATAGACAGAGTCAAAGGAAGGAAGACTGGTTTTCGTGATGCACTGGACTACGTTCACAACTCTTTGCAATTTCTTGCAGTCTTGGGCAGAGCAGTTGCCATTTTAAGCATCTGGATAAGATGCTTTCTATGTTGCATCTGTGAAATTGCCAGCAGAAACTGTGACTAGAGTCATCAAGTGCTGTACGATGTTATTATCCACAAGTTACCAGATACAATTAGCCTGCCTCTTCATGATAGAGAGGATAGGTTCTAGACCCTGTGTCAAACCACTGGCCACTGTGGAGTCAGAGTCTTCCATGCCCCTTGTCAAAACCACAAGCTTTAAGACAGGCGATTTCACCAAACGTTTGGCTTGTTTCTCTGAAAATTGGCACTGCGAGCTCCAGTGCAGGGGAACTAAAAGCAACCTTGTCAGTTCATCCCATGGTTCTATGTCAACCTCTGGAGTGCCTGTCTAAGCTTTGTCAACACAGATATAAACTGGTTTGTAAAGAATAATTTACATTTGAAATTCACTAAATTATATTCTCTTTCTAATTACAGATGACTATGCTTTGCTCTTAGGACTCCAGATGGAGCTATTGTTTAATGGGAGTTATTGAATGTACTATTGATTTGTTGTTTCTGATTCAGTATAACCAGAAGAAACTGGTACTGGCTTGTGAGAGATGGTTGGAGTTAAATCTCATTGTACATCTAAGATATGAAATCACTTTTCGAAATCTGCAAAAGGATGTTTTGCAAAAAACTTTGTTATCACCTAGGTAAGTAACCCATGTTATAGTGCAAGATCTGTTTAGAAATATGTTAAATAACAACTTAGATTTAATAAATCAATACTGATTTTAATTGTGTTATTAAACTATTAGTATGCTACTCCCTGTCTAGTTTTAATGTAGAATTTTCACTGAGCTAATTCCATATTGAAACAGCACTGACTAAACTGAATAGTGGAGTTTATAGTTTTGGATCTTATCCTGGATATCCATTTTGTTTGGGAAGCATATTATTCCTGTCGGTGCAGATCAAGTGGTCCATGAATTGGAGTCTCTCAAATTTTGCTCAATTTTGACTGTGAAACTGGGACTAGATAGTAAACTACAGTATAATCACATGTTTCCCTTGTCCCTATTAGGCACATTGAATATCTATCTGTTATCTATCATGGTTTGTGGAATATGAATATAAGAAATGCATACAAATTGGCCTTCCCATGATAGTCAGATTCCTTACCAGTGACCCTCACAAACCCTGTGAGGTCAGCATTCAAGGACAATGGAAACTGTGTAATCATAGGGACTACACCAGTTTCTTGAAGAATTTCAAAGCCTGTATATTTCAGTTTGTAAGTTTCAGTTGGCGACATTAACAGGTTTCAATGTCTGACTCTGTTCTACTGCATGTTATGTGCTGAAAGTGGCATGTAGCAGGATTGCTACCTGACAACATAGCCCCTCATGAATTCAACACATTTTCCTGAGTTGTGGTCAAATGTTATAAAGGATTTTCTCCCAGTGGTATTTCCACTTTTCAGAAGAAACTCTTCCTTGCACTGGAGGAAAATACAATGTTACCACAAGGAAGCAGTCTCTGCAGCACCTCAAGTGGCCAAGACAATGACCTCAGGGCCGTAAAACTATGTAAGATTCTTTCTGATTCGTATCCAATGACTCGTGCTGTGTAATACCTGTGTTTCTACATGCACATCAGGACTAAGCTCAGCTGTGAAGTTCTCCATGGTCAAACAGCCACCCAGCAAATACTGGTCAAATTCACATACACAAAATGGGCTCATATGTTTGTTGTTGATTGCACTCCAACATGAATCATTGTCATTAGGAAAGTAAGGGAGTAAATGAAAGAAAAATCTATTTGTTTTACTGTATTATCCATGTCTATATGTAATATCTCAAACATTAACAGCTATAGTTACTAATTGTAGTTGTATGATAGTTTGCAAGATACTTATATTTTTGACATTGAGTTATTTTTTCCATTAAATATTTAACTGATATTATTCACAGGAAAATACATATTAAAGGAAAAATCTTCAACGTTGAATCATGTTTAAAGATTATGATCATATTTCAGGGCTGGAAACAGTGATTAACAGCATGATCTGGAAGAAATTAATTATATGCTTGGTTGGCAATCGGGTTTATACATACTGCTTGCAAGTATGTTAAAAGAAAGCCATTCAGTAATAATTTGGAATTATTTCTGTATGATTTATTAGAAATAGAATACATTTCAAATCGGGGTTTGTTTCTGAAGACACATCAGGATTCACCTGAGTTACTTCTTAGTTTTAAACATTATAAACTGAGATGCCTGTACACTTTCTGTCATCTTTCATCTGACTATTTTATGAAGTATGTCAGAGATACCCTAGAGGCCAACATTTAATGTAGATTTCCATATGAATGCCAACTTGGAAAATTAACAATCCCCGAACAATAGTTTCCAACAGGCTGGTATAGTCTTGGAAAACCTGGCAGCCCATAAGGAATTTAGAATATAGGCATGCACTTACTGAAAATACAGGTGGTGTGGGCTTGTTCTAGCTTAACATGTAGGGTGATTCAGTATTCCATCATTTATATAGCAGGTCATGATAACAATCACAGGGCTTTTCTTCCATATTTTTATGGAAAGATCATGGGTTGCTAAATTTCATTGTTAAATTACTTTCTCAGTTGTCAGTGCGATGTGGAGATAGTCTTCTCTCACCAAGCTTTCAGTCACACTGACACTCGCCCACCTTATCCAGGCAGTCTATCTCTCAATCCACAATGATGTTTCAACCCCTGTTCAATTGCACCATCAGCTACAAACCAGAATTAGCATTTCTTTTTGTTTATGAATAAGCAGACACTTCAAATCACTTGGTGTAAAATGTGCTCGGTTGACATAGATGAATCTTACCCTCTCTTCAGTGAAATTATCAAATTTGAATTAAATGACATTCAATTGCGAAGTAATCCAAGCCAATAGGCTGAAGATCTTTTATCTGGCCTCACTGAAGAGGAAATTGGCAAACAGTCTGATGGAATGGTGAAACAGAAACAGGGATTGACATTAATATAATTGAGCTTATAAATCTCTTCTCACATGACATTGACAATTATGTTGCAATTTATAATTATTACATTACCCCTCTACAGTGATGTTACATGTTGAAATTCACATTATGGTGTTCTGCTGTTTCAGATTGTTTACTTTTTCTGAATACCACGTGCTACAAACTATCCTCTGCTGGATTTTCCTTCAGGTGAACACTGAGATACGGCTAGTACCACCATATAGTGCAATCATAACCTATTTCATCAGGTGATTACCTTAATCTGCTTACCATTACATGTTGTAAAATAGTTTTAGTTTACGTAATAACTGGAAGGTGAATATTTGTGTTCAACTTACTAAATCACAGAAATGATCAGCATTCACATTCACACATCCTATCTAATATTGTGAAGTATCTTCATGCCAGTGAAAAAGATATAAGCAATTACCTGATCTTTTCCCCCCAGTCTGCCCACTGTTCTCTATCCTTATTTTCCTGGATACCAAAATAAACATTACTGCCCCCTTCTTCAAGCTGAGTATCATTTGTAAATTTTACCATGGATTTTCAAGTCCAGGTAACTCCTATGTACAGTATAAACATTTGGATCACATTCGACAGTATACCACTAAACTTGGCATCAGTTCCTGAACCGGCACTCGCACATTCCTTTCACTCAGCCAGTTCTTTCTCTCGTATGTGGTTAGTTGCCATCTCCATGAGTGTAGCAGAACCTGGTGTGGAATTTACTTCTTGACTGTTTTATAGGAGGCTAAATATATGGGACATACATGTGAAAATGACTGATACTGGTGTACTCTTGCAGCAGAAGAGAGAGACTAAGCTCCATCCTAGGTTTGTCCTTAGGAGTCATTAAAATAAATCAGGCAAGTAATGGATGCCAAATAGGCAATCTGGTGCAGCGTGCTAATCTGAGATTTTTGTTCCTTGGCTGGCATGAATGTTAAGCCAAGCTACACAGAAGCCCAGAGAGGGATAATGGCTCTGTGCTGACTGCAGCCACCATTATGAATTAAAGGTAGTCTCCAAAGTAAAAGTTAAAATAAATGCCCGTATTCAGAGGGTGCCAGTAGGCTCTATAAGGGCTGTTGTTTAGGCTGCTGCAGAATCCGAGCACGCTTTGTGGCTAGTTTCAATAAATTTATCAAATAGGGCCTGAATCAGGCAAGGGACTATTGGACCCATGCTCATTCAATGTGGGATTTAAGGCCACTGGGAAACTAATGGCCCTGACAAGAGATTTGTGACAACATCAAGCAAATACTAAAATCATCTTTGGATGCCACTTCCTGTAAATAAAGTTTGAAACTTAGGTGATACAGGATTTCTTCCCTTTCTTAAATTGTTGTCTGATCCTTATTAGGTTGTTTTCATATTCCAATTCTGAACTTTATTCCCAATAATCAATGCATTATTTTGTTGGTAACTGAACAGGATCTTCACTTACCTGAATTAATTTTCTTACTTATCTGGCCAAAGAGGTATCATGTTGGCATGTTTCCAAACCAGTAAGGTTTATTTGCTTCAGAAGGACTCAGCTTTTCGTGACCTTCATCCCTATTCTGACTTATACAGTTGGGTTTACAAAATCTGTGTATAGGGATTACTGGTTTTGAGCCCTTAATGCCTATCCATGTCATTCTGTATAAGTGATAACAAAGTTAGGTTTAGCTGTACAATCTCCCAGGCTGAATATAACTAATGTTTACTATTTTGTGATTATGTTCTGCAATTCACATATGTTTTCTACTTCTGTCATTATGTGCTTTAATACACTAAAACTAAAATACCCAAGTCCTTTGATACAGACTTTATAACTGCTAAAACCCAGGTAATGTTCTGGGGACCTAGGTTCAAATCCCGCCACAGCAGATGGTGGAATTTGGATTCAATAAAATATCTGGAATTAAGAGTCTAATGATGACCATGAGTCCATTGCCGATTGTTGGGGGAAAAACCCATCTGGCTCACTAATATCCATTAGGGAAGTAAATCTGCCATCCTTACCTGGTCTGGCCTACATGTGACTCCAGACCCACAGCAATGTGGTTGACTCATAACTGCCCTCTGGGCAGTTAGGGATGGGCAATAAATGCTGGCCTAGCTAGCGATGTCCTCATCCCATGAATGAATAAATGAAATCTACCTTTTTAAAAACCCTGAGAATAAAATAAAGGTTTGTATTTTCCTCTGAGAGGTTTATTAGGAAATGGCATTACATTTTCCAGAATGAACTATTCGAAGTGCAACAACATTAAAATCTTGAAACTTTTTGATGGTGCAAGACTGCAAGTTAACTTCAGATTTCCACATACTTGAAGTTATAAATTGAAAGTAAGTAGAAAAAAATGCCTTAAGTAGCAATGATACATAGCCTCATCAGATCCTTATGCAAGCAGTCAAAGCCAAGAAAGCTATCTACGTAAAATCTTGAGGAAGTTCTCTATTCCTGTGAAACAAATAATTCTATTGTGGAAATCTCATAATGTAACTATATCCCTGAAGGGGATAGGGGACTAAGCTGAAGTTATGCTTTTCTATCATGTTAACAACTGCACTGACTTGAAATTGACGTTCTGTGTGGAAGATATGAGAAATTTGAAGGGTAGTTTCAGCCTGGAACTTGTTAACAGATTAGTAAATTCTATCTAATGTAATAGACAGGTTCTGACAAAAACATTGTTAATATCTCTCTCTCAGTCTTTCTGTTCTTAAATTGAAATGACCATTTTTAGCTGCATTGTCAACTTCTGCAAGTTCTAGCTGAATTGCTGATAGTTCTGTATACTTGCGTGTGCCAAGAACAAAGAATAATATAGCATAGGAACAGGTCCTTTGGCCCACCAAGCCTGTGCTGATTTCTAATCCTTATTTGGACTTGCTACTTATTGCCATACACAGTTTAAGTTCCTCTATTTGTCTCCCATTCATGTGTTCATCAAGGAAAAAGTTGAGACTACTGAAGTCATTATGTGCACAATTATTATAACTAATTGCTTGACTTAAATTTGAGACCAACGTCATGCAACACTTTCTCACCTGCAGCAAGGAGAAGGTACATTGTGAGTGGTAAATTTTTGAGAAAGTTGCAGGCTGATTTTGATCAATTTCACGAAACAGCCTAGGATTTTCAAAAAGTAATTGCCTGCTAATCGCCCATTGAGCTTTTGTGTCGAAAGTCTTGTAATTATTAGCGTAAGCACCATTTTAATAACTAGTGGCTATAAAATCAACCTCTCTTGCTAAAGCAGGTAAATATTTAAAAATCACTTTAGGAGATCTGAAAATTGTTGGATTTTGAATCTTATGGTTTTCTTGTTTTAACTTTCTATCTTTTCTACTCTTTCTTCATCTAATCTTTCTTTGCATCTCTCTTTTCTTCTGGTATATGATTTCACATTGAATTCACCTCTCAAATCACCTATTTTATTCATTTAATTTTCACTCATTTATTCTTATCACTGGATGAATACTTGGCACCAGTATTGTCTAAGGAAGAGAAAACTGACAAAGTATTGTTCTGATTGAAGGCGATGGGGGTAATGGATGGAGGTGAAAATGTATTGGCAAGGCTGGCCATTCTTCAAATGGATAAATCACTTGGTTGATATAGCTCGCATTGCTAAAGTGAGTGGGTGTGGAGATTGTGGACGAGCTTGCCGTGATCTTCCTGTCTTCCTTAAATGTGGGGGAGATGCCAGAGGATTAAAGACTGCCAAATATCACCCCATTATTCAAACAGAGGTGTACAGACATTTCCATTAATTGAAGATTGGTCAGTTTAATATCAGTGGTGTGTAAGTTTGTCAGATAAGAAGAGGCAATATAGACTCAAAAGTTCAGATCTAAAAAGTATGCAGGGGCGAAGGGACCTAGGAGTTCCTTTATGTAAATTTTTATAGGTGGTAGTATATACTGAAAGATCAATTTACGAAGTATATAGGAGCTTAGGCTAGAACTACAGCATCATGTTGAATGGCCACTATATCTATTGATTGCCCTCTATCAACTCTGCCTGGATATCTTCAACAGTTTGCCTACAATAAAAGCATGTTGACTGTTTGATTGCCTTAAGTTTCTTTTTAAATGTTCTGCTACGTCTTCATTAATAACGGCTTCCACCATTTTCCCAGTGATAGACATTCGGCTACCTGGCCTATAGTTTCCTTCTCTCTGTTTCCCTCCTTTCTTGAACAGGGGGTTCACATTAGCAGTTTTCCAATCTGCTAGAATCCTCCCAGAGGCCAGTGAGTTCCGGAATATTTCAACTAATGCCTCCATTATCTCAGCAGACACTTATTTTAAAGAAAACCCTCGGATGCAAGACATCAGGTCCTGGCAATTAGTCAGCCTTCAATCTAACAGCTATATCAAAGGGTTGTCTGATAATACAGAACTTGAGCATTGCTGAAAAAAAAGCATTTTCTCAAAGCTTTCCATCTTTCAAAGCTTTCCATTAGCGCAATTCAAAGAATATGATCAAAAGATCAAAAACTTTGACAAATATTTAATTTTTCAGCAATACTGATACAAAGGGACTAAATGGAAGCAGTGTGAGACTGAAAGGTCATCAGGGCTACAGGGACAGCACAAAATGAGGAATCACTCTGCATTCCAGGTGGATGCTAGAACTTTCTGCCAAAAATATGAAGTATCGGATTGAAATCATCTGTGCAATGACTGCCGAAATAGCTGACACCGCTTGCAGAGTGGGTGGAGTAAGTTATTGTTTTGTTTTCAAGGGTGGAGTGAACAGTTTGAAAATTTGAGGATCTGCTGGGGCAATTGCAATAATCATGACTGCAGTGATTCGGTGATCCACCTGTTTGGCTTTAATTCATGTTTCATCAGTATGTCATTCATTGTTGAAGAATGCACATTAAGAATCATAGCATCAAGCATCACTGACTAGTACATTATGCACACTAATTGTCACCTTGTCATGTCAGCCAAGTAATTTTAGTCGACAAATACTCTTAAAAGTATCACCCTGGAATTCTCATATGAGAAGCACATTCTTGGTTGGGGTGGAGGACGATGATTTGGAGCTGCCACATTTGCACACTAGGCCAGGATATGAACCGTAATGTACGAAGGTACCTTATCACTTTTTTTGGTGAGTGGGGTGCTATCATATCGACTTTTTGGCTGAATTCTACCGCCCCTAATATAACAAAAAATCTGGTTGCAGAGCATACATTTGGATAAAGTAACATATCTCAGTGCTCCTTATGAGCACATGACAATGACCTTGGAAAGTGTCCATGCCACACTGTGAGAGAATATAACATGAGACTTCACTGTGGTAGGTATGAGGTCTCAGGAGTTCCTTCAGTAAAGTTACATTCTCTTTCTGACATTCCCCACAGATTATCTGTTCCTGCATCTCACGTGGACATCGCCATGGCTGGAGGTAATGCGACCTTAATTCAAATACAAAGATTGAGTAGGAGGGGACAGCAATTGAATTGTCAAATAGTTCAAGAGCCGCAACAACCAGTGGCATACCCTCCAGAGGCACACATAGCAGCCAAACATCCACCAAGGAGGTACAATAGAGACCCTACTGTGCCTTCTATTATTCTCTTCAACTATCTGAAGATTTGGTGCCATCATCATCAGACTGTATCATCTGCTGTAGTAAGATTCATGCACAGAAGGGCTGGGTAACAATCTCATCCCGGTGTTCATCAAGGTCACAGCTCCTCAAAAATTTTATGCCACCCATTTCAGCGATAACCTGGATCTATGAGGCATCTCTCTGTCCTTGAGTCATAAATGCATCTCGGATGTAACTGATGTCATTTTCTCCACTATCTTAATATCTTCATATCCCTTCCTTGTGATGAGAACAGCCAAGCAAATGGACGGTGGGATTCTTCATTTCTGGCTTCTTCCTAGTGCAGCATTCTATCAACTGCACCCACCAGCATGCAGAGTTCATCAACAGAAAAGGAATCTACTCCATCAGTGTTCAAATTGTACATGATCATCAATGCCGAATCATTAGAAGTGTGTTGCAGACATTTTGGGAACTGCCATATCTCTTGTAAACTAGAGAACTCACACTGCATCCTTCCAAGGTCATTGGGGAGCAACAACTTCTCCATCCAAACACTGCTCAAGACTTTTTCATGAAACCATTGAGACTGATGAAACAACACTTCTAACAGGGCTGTAGTAGAACAGACCTTAGACTTCCTTAGGATGAAGTTTTGATGCCTGGAGTACTCTTTCAGGGCCTTGCACTATGGCCCAGAATGGGTGTCCTGCATCATTGTGGCATGCTCATATAGCCACAGCTGGAGCCAACAAATCGGTGGGTCCTGGACGCAAAGTAACTGGAGAATTAGCAGCAATCTTCTGAGGATGATGAGCAGGACATTGAGTGAGAGGGACATCCCTGGTAGCATGATAAAGCATTTTGTTCAGCATGAGAAACCAGAGGGAACTGAACTGAATCTCACTTCCAGGATGAATGAACTGAGTTTGGACTTCCTTTCGTTGTTGAAGATTCTGTTGTTCATTTGGAAAGCAGCCCTTGTTTAATGCAAAGGGCTTTTGGACCTTGTTATTGTTGACTTTTTCGGTTATTGAATAAATGTCTCATTATCACTAATTATATGTTTGATGGCTTTCAGTGATCCCACTTTCAACTGCCTGCATATTACATATCCTACTAATCATTCAAGAAAAATCAACAGCGAGAGGGTGTAGTTACATCACATGATGCTTACGTTAGGTAGCTCTGAAGGCTTTAACTAGTGTCTCATATCTGAATGTTGTGAAGTGAAGTCTCTCGTGACAACGAGTAGCTTGAGAGGAATCTTGAATGATCTCCTTTTGACTCTTCTGTCAGCAGTAGCCCATCAATGTTCAGAGTGCCTGTAAATTCTAAAGTTATGCTTGAGCATCCTGTAAGACAGCAATGAACCTGTGAAAGGCAGCATTTTCTACAGCTTTTATTGGCAGACAATATGATATAAGGAACAGTGGACATATGAACTGACCATTGTACATCTTTCACCTTTGAATGGCAATGCGCTCCCTTGAAAAGATGATACATAGGAAGAAGGTTTCGCTGCAGAGAAGTGTGCAATCACTAATTAAGTCCTCTCATGTATAAGGTGGGCATAAGTGTGGAATGGTGTGTGCAGGCCAAGCCCTAGCACAATCTCTATGCATTATGTTCAACCTCAGTGTTGTTCAAATCAAAATTCAGTGCCTTGGCTGCAGTCAACAATGCCACTGTCAAGGAACTGTGATGTCTGAGGCTATCTCCAGTCAGGGAGTCGGTTGGTTGTGAGAGATGAGCAATACTTGACCCTTACAATTTCTTACATCCTTGAAAAAGGATGAAGAGGCTGCTCATTCCTCACATTGATACAACTTAGTCTGGTCTGACTGCAAAAATAACATTAGAGCAGATATTTAAAGAGAGCAAATGAATATATATTTACAAAAGTTGAAGATTATTTACAAAGATGTGTCACTGCTGTCACCTGCATGCTCTCGGTATGTTTCTTCTTCCTTTCCATCTCATTACATCTAAGTATGGTCTCAACTTCCTTAGCTGGGGTGACGAGAATTTGGCCCAGTTGACCTTGATGACTAGAATGGTCAAAACACTTTAAATTTTGCTCTATGATTCAATGACTGTATGACATATTTGCCAGACTAGGCCAACAGCAGGAACATAACAAACAAGCCATTTGATCAGATCAAAGCTCTGCAATCCTGCCACCTCCAGTCATAAATGGTGATGGACAATTCAACAACTAAATCAAGCAGGAAGCTCCCAAAATATCCCCATCTGGTAGAGTGCAGCACTCCTATGCCAAAGGCTAGGCTGAAGCATTTACCTTCAATACAGACAGAAGACCAAGCGGAGTGTCCATCTCCTTGACCTCCTCATGAAGTTTCCACCATGACAGTGTCTAAGTTCAGACCACTTAATTCAACAGGTCTCCTGATTTGAAACTACATTGCCATTCCTTTCTGGGTCAAAAACGTTGGATTTTCATCCCTAATAACACTTAGCGTGTGGATGCATCACAAGAACTGTAGCAGTTCAAGGAGATGGTTCACCACCTCCATCACAAGGGCATTTGAGGGTGGGATATTAATTCTGACTTTGGCAGTGATGCTCACATCCCAGAAATAAATAAAAGAAAATCACCCCACCCCACCCCCACCACCCTATGACCTCCTCACATATTAATTTTATGTAGGTTGTTGATGATTGACATTTCATAAAAACAAAAGACTTTAGTTAACAGCCAACAGTTAAAGTTAACAGAGGCAACACAGTGTGGAGCTGGAGGAACACAGCAGGCCAGGCTTCATCAGAGGAGCAGGAAAGTTAGCTGCCTTATTTTAAAACATTTTGCTGTTTGTCCCCAGCACATTTTTGACAGAGAGAACTGAACAGTAGTGCATTAAAACTTGATGAATAATCCATTCTCAATTTCTATTGTTTTTCTAACCAAACCTCAGATGAAACTTGAAACCAGAAGAAACTATCAGTGCAGTTTCAACGGGTTATTTCCCTGAGCTTGTTATATATTTACAGTTAAGTCTTGCTTAAACCAGGAAATAAAACTGTTTTGGCCATGAATAGAAAACCTAATAATGTTGCTCTAAGTGACTTATTTTCTTCACAGTTTACAAAAGATGTTCGTCTACCTGGAAAAGGATATTCGACAGAAATACTTTGGGCTGTTTCAGGCTGTCCGATTACATGGAATAACTGAAAGTAAGCAAGTTCTCTAAATTGCTGACTTTTAAATGTCAGTGTTGTTATGTTCATTATTATGGAATGCATAAAACTTAAACCAAAACCAGACTTTGGAAGCAGTGACAGCAACACATAGCAAGAGTATTTCAGTGTCTCAGTTGTTCAAACATGCTGATCTTATTATTCTACATCCTATTTTCATGTACTATTGCAAATTGTCTAGTTCCACCGTTTTATTCGATAACAGTTTTAATTGTTTCATTTGGCTTTGAAGAAGAGCTGCACAATAACTTACGGATCTCCTCATACATATGCTCCAATGGAAATGCATGCATTAATTTGGTCTAAATCCTTCTGGTGGTATTAATCCAACTAACCTATCATCGAAAGATAAACTTATATTCAGAAATTCTTCATAATAAATAGATATAGCAATACATAAAGTATTATTTTTACAATGCTTATTATTTAAAAACCTAAAAGTAGTTCATCTCATTGTTACTTATTACCTCACTCTGCACCTCTGGACAAACACTCTGGATATAGGACAAATAATATTCTTCATCGTTCTTTAATCTGTTTGTAAATCGCTGTAAGTTTACCAAATTTCAGTGACCTACTTCGTGGATATAAGGATTTGAACCTTCAAATGAGTTAAACCAGTACCATCAAATACCATCATATATCTCACTTTGGTAATCATTTGCAGGTATTCACTCATGATTATTCTGGCCAGACTCATGGATTCCCCACCCTTCAGTTCTATATTTCACTTTTTGTCCTTTTGTCCTAAAGATTCTTCCTTTACGTCATTTGCCCTTGATTCTTGCCAGCATTCCTCACTTCTCTTCCAAGTTTCTTCTGCTCTATTTATGCTCTTATTTGTTTTTATTCTCTTCCAATTTACCTGTGACCGTGTCAGCTGTAGCCAGAAAGAAGCGGAAGGTTTCCTCTGATTTCTGCCACCTCCCCCATGCACTGCCTTCTAGTTCTGCTTACTTTTATGATACACTTAAATCCAGTGCAAATGTGGACCTAAGATAATTTGGTTGAGGATTCAAGTATGAATTAGAATCAGGGAGCATTGCATAGATGTGGGCAGGAACAAGGGTGAGGTGAGAGATATAGCATGGATGGAGAACGCTTCCAGATTGGTCTAGCAAGGTTCAAGACAAGCCAGCAGGATTGGTCATTGGAGGAAAACAACATTCTATGGACAGACTGGAGACCAATAGATGTTGTTTGTCACATCTGATTGGTCCACACTAAGTATATTAAAGAATTATAATCGAAAAATGTACCAATGACCAATCACTGCTCAACTTAAATGACCAAATGTACAGCAATTATGTTGCTCCAAATTGAATCATTAGTTAAACCAAGTAATGTCTCTTTAAAAATAATATACAGGCATTTGTGAAGTACTTTATAGTGCAATGTAGAATTTTAAAATAATCTAAAATCTACTGATGCTGTTGACTGCGAGCAGGTTACTTGTATACAACTTTCTAACTTCAAAGGCAAAATATGACATTTTAGTCAAATAATGTATGTGACTTGCCAAAATATGAAATGCTGTAACCATATTTTATTGAAGGAAAATGGTACCATTTTTCCATAACTTTAAAAGATCTCCAATATTTCACATCACTAGTATCTCACCACTATCAAAGACTTTTTTGTTTTTTATATTTAAGTGTCTTTAATAGATACTCTGTTAAAACAAGGCTGACTTAATTATCCCTGAAAAACTGTATTTTGTATTTACCTTGTGTAAAGTGGCTTGTTTGATTTTGAGATTGCAATACTATTTTGGGTTCATTTTTGGCTGTTCCCTTTTCCCGGTCAGGTTAGCTGTGGCACAATTGATAGCACTCTCATCTCTGAGACTTATGGTTCTGTGTTCTAGACCACCCCAAGGATTGAGTCCAAACATCATCATAACCCATCTCCGTGGGTGTATCTTACCGTCAAAGGTGCTGTCTTTCAGATGAGATGTTGAATTGATGCCTCTTGAGTGGATGTAAAATATTTCATTGTGAAGAACCGCAGAGAAATTACCTTTGGTGTTCGTACCAATGTTTAACCCTCAATCAACATCTCAAAAAAAGACAGACCAGTCATTACCTCATTTCTATCAACGGGAATGTATTGTGTGCAAGTTGAAAGCCGCATTTCCTCCATTGTAACAGTGACTGCACTGTAAGAAGTGCCTCATTGGCTTTACAGCTTTTTGAGATGTTGTAGTCATGAAAAGTGCTGTTTAAGTCCAACTCTTCTTTCCTCTACCTACTTGTCAACTTCCAATTAATATGAATATGCTTTAGCATACCTGTAATAGTTTAGCCACTGCACCCTGCTTCATTTTGTTCATTTGTTTTCATTGCATTTCAGATTAACTTTTCAAAACATATGTTGCATTTTTAGTGTTGTTCAAAACATCTGAATCAGTGTCAATTTGCTTTGATTTTTGTACATACATGCATAATATTATAAGGTGTGTAGGAAAATTTAATTTAAAATCACATTATTAAGTATTAATTTCTTCCTGGCTTGTATTTTTTATATGAAAAAATGAGTTGAACTGCAATTTGTGAACTTTACCTGGAATAAAAATTATGGAAAAGATATTTTCTGACACTAATTATTAAATCAAATGATAACTTCAAGTGTTTATTGTTTAAACAATATTTTACATTAGCTGAAGTAGATTGCTGAATCATCAGCAGTAATCAACCTTGCAGATCATAAAACAATGATAATGCTTCTAAATTCTTTGTAGATTTAGCTAAAGAAGGCAATTTTACTACACACTTTCTTTAGTTTCAATCTCTCCCTCATATTATTTCATTAGTGACACCAATTTGTTTCTCTGGCTGTTTTTATCTTGTTGATCAAAGGGTCCACATAAACCAAATAGAAGTTCTAAGTTTCAGAATGTTTCATTTACATTTCCTGTTTTTTTCAGCTGTGAATCAGTCCTGTTCCTCCCACTCCAAATATGACAGTTGTGATGTGATATGTTGCAATGGCTGCTACTCAGTGATGAGCCAAGTTAATCTCTCCTAGTCCTTGGAGTTGTGTGGAAAGAAATAAACCTGGACTCTGATTTATCTTTTGTGGCAAAATTGGTAGATGTGATTGGCAATTATAAGTGCTGTTCTGAGCACAACACTTACTATTTTCAGAGACAAAAAAACCGCAGATGCTGGCATCGAAGATAGACAAATAGGAGGCTGGAGAAACACAGCAAGTCAGGCAGAATCCAGAGGAGGAGAAGTCAACTTTTTAGGCATTACCCTTCTTCAGAACTGGAGAAGAAGTCCTGAAGAAGGGTAATACCTGAAACGTTGACCTCTCCTCCTCCAGATGCTGCCTGATTTACCATTTTCACGTGGGCAGGAATGGAGTTAGCTCAGGATTCACTGACAGCTGGCCATTCAATTTGTTTTTTGCCTCCACTTCTGCGAGATTTTGTTGAGGTAGGTATCTGAAACTCAAAGTGTGCAAATTAGACCAGGAAATACCATGTCGTAGGGTCATACAGCGCAGAAACAGGTTCTTTGGCACAACTCATCCATGCCTACCAGGTTTCCTAAACTGAACTAGTCCTATTTGCCTGCATTTAGCCATTATCCCTCCAAACCTTAACCTTACCCTGAAAAGGGTAAAAGCACGTCTAAACCTTATGGATTAATTTTCTTTCCAGGGTACTCTTTTGGAGAAGTAAGGTGTCTAGTATCTAGTCCTAATTTACATTTGGAAGAGTTAAGTACACATACTTGTGCATAAGAAATGCATAAAATCAATGGAACTGTCACAGCTGTCAAAGGTCTGTCAAGCTATCAAACAACTGTCAAAGAATTGTCAAGCTATTAAAGGGACCGATCAAGACCTTCAAAGGAACTTATCAAGACTGCCAAGGCATTTCAAACTCAAAATTACTTTGAAAAAATAGTCTGTAGAGTTCAAAGAAGATTGCTGTCCATTTCACTGTTTGTTGACATTAGCCTGAGGATTTCTGTAGATGGATTAGTGTTGAATAATTGGCTTCACAAGAACTCATTGTTACAGTGTTCATTTCACAGTTTGATTGACAGCTACAAGAGGTTTTAGAGTTTTGATGAGAGACTACAAACTCCAATGCTTGTTACACTTAAATTAAATATTTATTTTTTATTAGGCTTTACTAAGATGAAGAAATATAAACGTAGTAAATGTATTTTTTTTTACAAATGATAGAGTTTTTCTCAATATAGTGAAGGCTGCGATAAATCTACTTTAGTTCATAGAATTCTATTATTTGAAACACAGGAACAAAATCAAAGTTGCTGGAAAAGCTCAGCAGGTCTGGCAGCATCTGTAAAGAAAAAAACGGTCAACGTTTCGGGTCCGGTGACCTCTCCTCGAACTCAGTTGACCGTTTTTTCTTTACAGACGCTGCCAGACCTGCTGAGCTTTTCCAGCAACTTTGATTTTGTTCCTGATTTACAGCATCCGCAGTTCTTTCGGTTTTTATCTATTATTTCAAATCTGCGCATGGGTCTCGAGGTCTGCTCATGGTGGAATCTAGGTGAGTTGGCATGGCAGGCAAAAGGGTGGTTGTTGCAGGGCATGGGTTGGTACTAAATTGAAATAGAGTTCATAAAGGGCCACGTAGGCACAGGAGCATAGGTTGGCATGGAACATGTGGGGCCATGGGAATTGTGTACAGGGCATAAGTAGGCAAGTAGGGTGTGGGGGACCAGGAGGGGGATCATCAGGATCTAAGTTGCATGGAGGGTATGGGTGTGTCATGGAGTGAATAGATAATGTTAAGTGGCTTTGGGTGACATGGATGGGGCATGAGGAGCGTGGAGAGTTGGAGAAGAGCATTGAGAGGGAGGGTTGAATGGGTGTTTTGTGTGTTGATCTTTAATTCAAAACTTTGGACTCAGTGCTGTAGCCCACAGACAGGCTTTCCACCCATTTGGGCTCTGCACTGGGCATCCTCCTCATATTGTTCCAGTTGCTAACCT